GGTTTCTAGGTCTAGCGAGGTTGAACATAATTCCCTATTTTAAACAATAGAAGAAAAAAATAAGTAAATATGTTCCCCAAAGATAAAAAAACCCAATTTGTGCAAAGATTAAAAATCAAATCAACTAGTATTTATCTAAAACCTATTTTTATATAACTTAAAGTCAAAAAGTTTAATTGGGATAATAGTCACTCTTTCCTGGTTTTAGTATTTGGCTTTAAAACCCAAATTCTGTCGGTACTTACAGAGCTTTGTTTGAAGCTTTGACCACTGGCAGCAGCCTGAGAAGAGCCTCCTCTGAAGCAGCGTATTTCTTCAGGTCAAACACATCCAGATCTTCTCCTGATGTCACTAAGATGAAGGCCAGAGCTGACCACTGAGCAGGAGACAGTTTATCTGTGGAGAGACTTCCTGATCTCAGAGCCTGTTGGATCTCCTGGACCAGAGAACGATCATTCAGTTCATTCAGACAGTGGAACAGGTTGATGCTTTTCTCTGCAGATAGATTCTCATTGATCTTCTCCTTGATGTACTGAACTATTTGCTGATTGGTCAGTGAGCTACTTCATGTCTTGGTCATCAGACCTTGTAGGAGAGTCTGATTGGTCTGCAGTGAAAGACCCAGGAGGAAGCGGAGGAACAGGTCCAGGTGTCCATTTGGACTCTGTAGAGCCTTGTCCACAGCACTCTGATGGAGAGTTCTTGGATTTGAAGTCTTAGATAATTTAGATAAAAAGGAACTCTTTTTGTGTTCTTCCATCAGGTTGATTCCACGATTGATGAAGGTCCGATGGACGTGAAGAGCAGCCAGAAACTCCTGAACACTCAGATGGACGAAGCAGAACACCTTGTTCTGGTACAGTGTTCTCTCCTCTTTAAAGATCTGTGTGAACACTCCTGAGTAAACTGAGGCTGCTGTGATATCGATGCCACACTCTGTCAGTTCTGATTCATAGAAGATCAGGTTTCTTTTCTGAAGCTGATCAAAAGCCAGTTTTCTCAGAGACTCAATCATCTTCCTGCTCTCTGGACTCCAGTGAGGATCTGTCTCAGCTCCTCCATCATACTTGATCTTCTTTACTTTGGTCTGAACCACCAGGAAGTGGATGTACATCTCAGTCAGGGTGCTGGGCATCTCTCCTTCCTCTCTGGTCTCCACCACATCCTCCAGAACCGTAGCAGTGATCCAGCAGAAGACTGGAACGTGACACATTATCTGGATGCTTCTAGATCTATTGATGTGGGAGATGATCCTGCTGGCCTGCTCCTCATCTCTGAATTTCTTCCTGAAGTACTCCTCCTTCTGTGGGTCATTGAACCCTCTGACCTCTGTCACCATGCCAACACACTCAGGAGGGATCTGATTGGCTGCTGCAGGTCGTGTTGTTATCCAGAGGAGAGCAGAGGGAAGCAGTTTCCCCCTGATGAGGTTTGTCAGCAGAACATCCACTGAGGTGGACTCTGTAACATCAGTCAGGATCTCCTTGTTGTGGAAGTCCAGAGGAAGTCGACTCTCATCCAGACCATCAAAGATGAACAGAACCTGGAAGTGATCAAAGCTTTGGTTTCAGTGAAGAAGTGATGAACAAGTTCCAACAAGATGAACTTTTTCTCTTTCAGCACATTCAGCTCTCTGAAGGTGAATGGAAATATGAACTGGATGTTCTGGTTGGTTTTGCCTTCAGCCCAGTCCAGAGTGAACTTCTGTGTTAAGACTGTTTTCCCAATGCCAGCCACTCCCTTTGTCATCACTGCTCTGATTGGTTGATCTCTTCCAGGTGGGACTTTAAAGATGTCTTCTTGTCTGATTGTTGTTTCTGGTCTGCCTGGTTTCCTGGATGCTGTTTCAATCTGTCTGACCTCATGTTCATCATTGACCCCCTCCAGTCCCTCCCTCTGTGATGTAGAGCTCTGTGTAGATCTGGTTCAGAAGGGTTGGACTTCCTGCTTTAGCGATCCCCTCAAACACAGACTGGAACCTCTGCTTCAGACTGGATTTAAGTTTACATTGACAAACTGAAGCCAAAAGCTCTGAAAGGATAAAGAATATCATTAGCATCATAACGATTCCTTTCAATCGACTATTTGTTCTTTCTGCACTTCTGACTGAAATAAAGTCATAATTTCTCCATCAGGGTAAATCTCTGTAAAAAAAACTTACTGCTCTGCAGACGTTCAACCAGCTCATCCTGTTTCATCCTGCTTAGGAAATTCAGTGTGATCTTGACCAAAGCCTTTCTGCTGCTCCTCATATGCTCCTCATCCTTCCATTGACTCTCTAAGCCTTCTGATTCATTTGAAACCACAACCTTATGGATCTTTTTCAGCTACTTCTTCACAAAACTAACAATTTTTTCCTCCAGCAGCTGAACAGAACAATACATGAAGGACACATCAGACTGAGATCATGGAGCCAAACATCAGCTCCATGTTGGACAGACTGACAGTCCCATGGAGAAGTAGTTGTAGTTCATGTACAGACCATAAATATGGAGTCCAGCTGGGTTTGATGCTGCTGGGTAGATGGACCACTTGGAAGCTCTGAGTTCTGCTGGTCCACTCTGTGGAGGAACCAGGAAGCATTAACTCACATTCTGTAGAACAAACAGACAAAGAACAAGGTCCTCATGGTGTCCTGATCCAAAAGCTATAAATGGGGACACCTGTCACCAGAGTGTAAGCTCCTACCTGATCAGAGTTTGGATTTCTGATGCCCAGACCGATGTCAAAAATAAGTGAAATTAATGGAAATTAATTCAGAATGATAAGTTTAAGATTCCATAGAATCCATTAAATACTATAGAAGCAGCCTATGTTAGAAAATAAAATAGGCAAGTAAATCCAAAGTCCAAAGGATGGTTGGAGATTTTTACATCCTTAGATAAATCAGTTTAGAGAACATCACCATTTATGAAGTGCAGCAGTGATCAGAATATGAGGTGGCTTTAACAAGGCATTTCTTTGCTTCAAATGAAAAACATCTTTCATTTCTATATTGATTTTATGGAATAAAATAAATAAAAACAAGTCATAAGAAAGTAACATTTATTTATTTCCTCCAGTGAGTTGGTTTGTTTGGCTCTTTACCACCAACAAAAGCTTGCCTTAAACATGTAAGTTTTCCTATTTATTTACAGTATCACACTTGAACCCGAGAGTTAAAAATGACCAGATCAAAGGATTAAACTGGACATTTATCCAGGTTGCCTCCTTTAGTTATTTGATTTAAAAGTAATCTGATTCAACATATGAATTAAAACTGAGGGAGAAAAACACCAGAAGCACAAATTCAGAAACAAAACAATCATCTAGAGTCTGAACAGAGAACAACTTATACTGTCATTGATTGTTTTTGTAAAATGTTTAACCTAAATTCTGGCGTCAGCTGAAATGAGGCTGACCCCTGCTGGACCAACAGGTGAACTACAGACCTTTAGAAACACCTCCAACAATGTTTACCCTGAACTCACTAGAGACTAAATAATTGAAAAAACATCCAGTAAAAAACTGTTTCATTAAAAGGAATAAAAATATGGAATCAAAACATTTCAATCTGAGTCAGTTCAGTTTCATATGGTTAAAACATTTAGACAGAGCTCACCTCTTTGCAGCTGAAGGTCGGTCTGATTTAAAATCGATAGGGCGACCCTTTGACCTGTCACTCTTTAAGGAAACACAGCTGGGTTCTGGTTCTGGTTTGAGGTTCTGTTGGATCCTGGAGGAAAAACCCTGAATTCAATCTTAGTCTAATAATGTATTTAAAGTTAAACAGTGAAGCCCAGAACTCTAAAGTGTCCCACAGTGGCTCTAGTGTGAAGTGGATCCAAATATTCCTGGTTTCACTGTAAGCCGTATATTAATGATGAATTAATAATTAGCTCTGATGATAATTAATAAGGGATGATGTTTGGGTTTGTTAGCAGGAACTGAACAATAATCAGAAAGTTTGGATGTAGAACAGTGTTTGATGTGTTCTGATCTTCTATCCTGACTAACTTTCCTCCTTTGGATCGGAGTCAGAACTTCTGATGGAGAAACAAGTTCATTTATCTTCTAGTTGTTTGTTTTACTTGTTCTAGTCTTAAACTGATGATCAAACCCCTTTAGAGCAGCAGCTTTATTCTCAGCTGATCATTTCTGAGCTTCTGTTTGGCTTTTTATGGTAATACAGGCCTGGTGGTGCATTCAATGACCTTTCATTAATGTAGTAATCCACACTAAATATCCTATCAAAGCTTCATCTTGTTCTTATCATCAAACTTCCTCCAGCAGCAGGTCAATGATCTTGTATTTCTGATGACATGTAGCGGCTGCTGAAGGAGACTGTGGAGCAGTTTGCTAATAATCAGACTGATGATCATTTATAATGAACACAGATGAACTTTAGAAGCTGCTGATTTCACTGATGTTTGCAGATAACAGTGAGAGATCATGTTTTCCATCATATTTAGTTTGATGATTTAGTTTCCATCTAATAGTTGAATCAGCATCATGACTTGCCTACATGTGCATCACCTTAAGCTCTGCAGAAGCACCAACTCTGGTTCACTAATGTGACACAAGGTGATCCAGAAAGATTCAGCTGGATGAAGAACAACTGATTTTAGCTCTAATATCATCTAACAAGATCAGTTCATATCATCACAATAAAACAATCCTTTGATTATTTCCATTATTTAGCCTCCATCACTCACTGCTTCACATGTGAACACAGACATGTGAGAGAAAGAGTTGTGTTCACATTAATATGTTGGAATGAAGTTAGTTTAAACTAATTAGTGGAACATATAGAAAGAAGCTCACCTGTTTCCTGATGAAGGTTTGTCTGATTTAAAATCAATGATGGCATCCTTTGAAAAGTTGCTCTTTAACGACACACAGCTGGGTTCTGGTCCAGGTTCTGGTTCTGTTAGTTTCCTGTGGATAAAGATGGTTTAGTGATGTTCATGCTGAGCTCTGACATGGAGAAGAGTTCTGGACAGTTAGAGATGGTGATCTGACCTCTGAGCTTTGCTCTGGTCCTCATGTTCTCCACACAGAGTGGTTTTAGAGGGAGGGACTCTGTCCTCTCTGTCCTCACACTGATCCATGCTGCTCGCTTCACATCAGCTCACAGACCTGGAGCTGCAGCCAAGATCACACAGCATGAATATACATTTACATTCACTGATTCACACACTTAGGATACAATAGCTGCTTCCCTCTTTTACAGAAATAAATGTGATACTAAACTATATCTAAGGGAAAAACAAAAGAACAGATTCTTGAATGTTTTAGTCCGAATATTACAACTCTGAAAATAGAGAGTTGCAATACTTCAACTCTGTATCATGTGAAGATATCATACCTCTGAAAATCTGAACCTATGGACCTGCTGTGTTTCTGAACCATCAAACTAATTGATTAAATGTTCAAATAAAACTTCACACAATTTAATGCCAGGAAAAATTACATTTTTATATAATGAGGTCATCTTATTTTAAAGGGTTCCACAGAAAGTGGATGCATTGCTGTTACATTGACATTAAAGGAGAAAATGAAAGTTTGATTTAAAGCTGTTTGTTTAGTGATGAACAAACATCAGCTGCTCCTCATGTCGACTGTTTCAGACAATAATCTAATAATCCTGAAGATTTTGCTTCCTATTTAGTAAAACTAAAACTCTGCTCTGGAATAAAAGCAAAACATTTTCTAAAAACCACAGAGAGCAGAAACAGACTGTGAAACAATTAAACTTCAGCTTTTACTATAAAACAAAGTGATCTTATTGTGACTTTAGTCGAAGCAGAGGACAGACGAAGGTCTGAAGAAAACAGGCTCTGAGATGGAGGCAGGTAAAGGAGAACCAGTATAACCAGTTTACCTGCAGTCAGAACTTCACCTGAGATGGAGGCTGGGCAGGTAGGAGGAGTTAAGGGAGGGACAGTAACCATGACAACAGATCAAGAGCTTTCACTTTGGACTCACAGGGCATACATAGGCCTAACTTTCTGAAAGACTGGGGGGGACAGTCCCAACTTGGGACCAATAACTTGCACCCTTGTTCCCCTTCCCGCTCATTTAATTTAGCCAACAGAACGAAAGTTACGACTGTAACTACGGTTCTATGAATCCCGGATGACCGCCAGAGGCGGTGCTTAAAGCACGAATGATCACTCTTGCGCATGCACAGGTCGAGAATCTTATACCAACATAGTCACGTGTGACCCCCGGTGACACCGGTGTGCCTATATAGTCACGTGACAGCGACAGCTCAGTCCCTTAATCTTCTCGCGAACACACAATGATTCCGAGGGACCGAGCGCTCTGGCGGTCATCCGGGATTCATAGAACCGTAGTTACAGTCGTAACTTTCGTTCTATTTCATCCCTACTGACCGCCAGAGGCGGTGCTTAAAGCACGGATGACGATTACCAACAGAGTCCTGAGGAATCACACACAGAAACAACAACCCAAACATGCCCACCTCACTGGGAAGATGGCGTGCGCTGGGACAGGATCCCCTGCATTGGGTGAGGGGTGGCCAAGTTGACCCTGTAAAACCTAGCAAAGGTATTTGGGGATGACCAAGAGGCTGCTGAGCAAATAGCCTCCAGAGTGAGACCAGTCATAGCGGCCCATGACACACTGACACCCCTGGTGGAATGGCACCGTACACCAGCGGGGGGTTGGAGGCCCCGCTGAATGTACGCCTGTTCCACCACATCCACAATCCAACGCGCAAGGCGCTGTTTAGAAAGGGCCTGCCCCTTGCGGGGCCCCGCGTAGCAGACAAACAGATTATCTGCCTGACGGAGAGAAGCTGTGAGACTGACATATGTCCTCAGTGCCCGAACAGGGCAGAGAAGCTCATCAGGCCCATCTGTATCAAGGCGAGCAAGCTGGAGGGGCACAGTGTGGCTCGCGGGTGAAGCCACTTTAGGAAGAAACGCCGCATTAGGCCAAAGAGTAACACCCGAACCAGCCGGGTTCCAACGGCAGCAGGACTCGTGAACAGACAGTGCATGTAGCTCACTCACCCGTTTCGCCGAGGCCATGGCGAGGAGAAAAGCTGTCTTCTTCGACACACACTCAAGGCTTGCCCCCGCCAATGGTTCATAGGGAGGAGAGCGCAGGGCAGCGAGGACAATAGAAAGGTCCCACACCGGCACGACAGGGCGTGTGGGAGGGTGCAAACGCCGGGCACCCCTCAAAAACAAGGAAACGTCCTTGTTACGACCCACCGTCTCCCCACTCACCACCGAATGCCAGCAAGAGATGGCAGCCACATAGACTTTTAGAGTGGATGGAGAGCGACCTTGAGAAAGCAGTGCTTGAAGGAAGGTTAAAATAACGGAAACAGGACAGTGTACAGGGTCCTCACTTCTTTCCTGACACCAGCGGCTAAAAGCCTTCCACTTATGGGCGTACACCAGGCGCGTGGAAGGGGCCCTGGCATTAGTCATCGTGTGTCCGATGTCCCCGCCATACTCCGAGAAGGAAACGCCGGGCCCTGTAGTGGCCAGACCCAGAGTCGGAGGCGACTGGGATTGGGATGCAGGATCCGACCGTCCAGCTGTGACTGCAGGTCCTTCCTGCAGGGAAGAGGCATCGGAGAGCTGCAACAGAGCCTGTGCAGCATCGGAAACCAAGTCCTCCCTGGCCACCGGGGGGCCACCAGAAGGAGCTGATGTCCCTCCTGAAGGACCCTCAGGAGTGTTGGGCCTATCAGGGGAAGTGGCGGGAAGGCGTAGAGGAGTGCCCTCGGCCAGTCGTGCGACAGCGCGTCCTGACCTAGGGGACTGGCACTGTCCGACAGGGAGAACCACAGCGGGCAATGTGTCGTCTCTCGGGAAGCGAACAAATCTACGGCTGCTCTCCCGAACCTCTCCCAAATAGTTTCCACTACGTCCGGGTGGAGCCTCCACTCCCCCGGTGGTGGACGCCCCCGGGATAGGATGTCGGCAGGAACATTCTGCACCCCCGGGATGTGGGTCGCCCTCAGGCTGGCAAAAAGAAGGGCTGCCCAGGTCAGAAGCTCCCGGGTCAGCCTCAGTAGCATCAAAGACCGTGTTCCCCCTTGATGGTTGATGTGAAAAACAACCGACGTGTTGTCCGACCGCACCAGGACATGCCTTCCCCGCAGGACCGGGAGGAAGTGCCGCAGCGCGCGGTGCACAGCCTCCAACTCCAGAGCGTTGATGTGGTGCCGCCTCTCTCGTGGAGACCATGTCCCCCGAGCGATCTGTCGCTGCCACAAGGCCCCCCATCCTGTGGTGGACGCGTCGGTAGAGACAACTTCCCAACGGGATGGCAGCAAACCCAGCGGAACTCCCCTTATCATAAATTCTGCCTCTCGCCACTGAGCCAGCGATACGAGGCATTGAGGGGACACCTGCAATTTCCTGTGACGGTGTGACGCACGAGAAGGATCCAGCCTCAGGCTGTTGAGCCACATCTGCAGTGGTCGCAGAGACAGCAGCCCTAGGGGCACTACAGTAGCGGCAGCTGTCAGCTTCCCCAGCAGACGGAGATAGAGAACAAAGGGGGCCGCCCGACCGGGAAGAAAGGCAGGCAGCATCTGCAGAATGCTCTCGACACGCTGAGGCGATGGGCGAGCAGTCATGGAGAGAGAGTCCATCGTGATACCGAGAAACGTTACCTGCTGAGACGGAATCAGGTTGCTCTTCTGCCAGTTCACACAAAGACCCAATAGGTCCATGTGATCGAGCAAGGTGCGCGTGTCTGCAGCAGCTTGAGCTTCTGTGGGCGCACAGACGAGCCAGTCGTCCAAATAAGGCAGGATCTTCAACCCTCTGGCCTGCAGAGGACACAAGGCCGCGGCCATGCACCGAGTGAACACACGCGGGGACAGAGAGAGGCCGAACGGGAGAACCCTGAACTGAAAATGCCTGCCCTGAAATGCAAAGCGGAGAAAACGCCAATGCTGTGGCGCAATCGGGACATGAAAATATGCGTCCTTCAAATCGACCAAGGTGAACCAGTCGCCTGGAGAAATTGCCTGAAGCACGTCCCTGATGCTCAACATGTGGAAGGGGATGGACTTCATGTAAAGATTCAAACCCCTCAGGTCCAAAATTGGGCGGAGTCCCCCAGTCTTTTTGGGAATTAAAAAATACTTCGAGTAAAAGCCCCCTGGGTCCCGCAGGGGGTTGACGGGCAAAATAGCACCCTTGGCCAGCAAGGTGTCTATTTCTTGGCTCAGAGCCTGAGCTTTTACCTGGTCCCGAATCACCGTCATCCTGACTCGACCAGGGACAGGAGGGCGGCGGCGGAACTGTAGTGTGTAACCCCGGGTAAGTGTACACACCACCCATGGATCGGACACAAGAGCGGCCCAGCAACCGAGCTGCTCCGGGGTAAAGTGTCCCACCGCCGGTCCAGTGACGTCATCTCCGAGCCCCCCTGCCCTTCGGGGGGCGGGAGGGTTGCTGAGTTGCCCGCCCAGGTTGAGGAGCGACATTAGCTCGACCCCTAGGTGGATCGTAGTGGCCATGGGCAGGCCTGGCAGCAGGCCCTGCAGCAAACCGTGGCTGCCCCAAGCAAGGTGTAGTCCGAGCAGGACAAGTATATGACAGGGACACAGAGGCACTCCTAGTAGGACGCTGCGCTCGTCTGCGATGCAGACCGGCCAACTGTTGCCTGGTACGCGAGGCCTCGGCCGACCGTTCCAGGGCTGCAAGTGCAGCGGAGCCAAACAACTCCCCAGGAACAACTGGAAGGCCCATCAGGGTCCTTCTACATGCCTCCGTCAGAGGAGACTGAGCCAGCCAGACCTGGCGACGTGCCTGAACAAGGGTAGACAGGACACGTCCAACCTCCCTCGACAGAAGAGCAAATGCATGGAGGGATGCGTCGATCGCGACACCCTCCAAGGAAGCCGAGAGACCCAGTAATAAATGCGACAGGGAATTCCCAAGTCGCCCCAAACGAGCCCCAGAGTCATAGGCTCTACAGAGCAGATCGTCAGTGACACGGCACTGAGGACGAGGACACCTGGCATTGGCCCTCAAGGCCTCATCCGGTGCCACAATGAGGGAAGCTATGGCTGGCTCAACCGAAGGCATATGGCCCAAGCCAAGACTGGGCGCACCATGCATGGCCGCCAGTGCCCTGCCGTCAGAGGTCAGCCTCGAGAAGGCCTTAGTGTCTGTCCAACAGGCATGGAGCTCCTTCACATACTCTGCAGACGGGGGAACCATAAAGGACGCCCTAGCAGTAGGACGCCGAAAGAAAGCACTGGAAGCCGCAGGTTGGTCCTGTGGAGCATCCAGATGCAACCGGGCGAGGGCAGTTCTCAGAGCGCCCACTACAGAACCATCCTCCTCTGACTGAGAGCCAGAAGAGATATGTGAACCGGCTTCTGAGAGGAGTGAGCCGGAGTCAAATTGATCCCGAAAATCAGTGCCAGACGCTGCCAGGGAAATGGCATCATCTTCTAAAGCAGAGACTCCCGAACCAACGCTGTGTCCTTGGTCAGGGTCTCCAGACATGTCAGCGCCACGCTCGCCCCTAAGGGACTCAAGCAACGCCTTCATCCCTTCTAGTTCAGAAGCGAGCTGGGCCACCTGCCCAGATATGCCCTCTGGAACCCTGGGGCTCCTCTTGCTCCTCTTCCGTGGAGGCCCCATAGCCTCAGAAGACACACGTTTCACAGGCTGGCTGGCGCTTTGAAGGCCAGCCAAACGAGCGTTACGTATGGACAAAGGCAGGACAGAACAATTAGGGCATGCCGCATCAGTCAAGGCCTCTTCCAAATGATCCAGGCCCAAACAAGAGGGACACAGATCATGCCCATCCTCCAGCTGGAGAGGGGCCAAACAAGCTCTACAGCACGGCGCGTCCAACATGTCACGCTCACAGGGCTAGGTCAGGTCGAGCCGAATTCGCCACTCTTGACACTCACCGAGCGGACAGATCGGGAGACCCGGTCGAGCAGAGAACGCCACCAGGGGTTCCCCAACAGCAAGGCCACAAGAGAACTAGCCAAGCACGTTAGCAAAGTAAAAAGCAAGCCCGAAAACGGCTGCTACGGTAACAAAAGCAAGCCCGGAAGCGGCTGCCACAGTGAACCAACCAAAAAAAAAAAAGAAGAAAGCCCGAAGCGGCTGCCACGAAAACAGAAAAGCAAGCCCGAAAGCGGCTGCCACGGAAAACAGAAAAGCAAGCCCGAAAGCGGCTGCCACAGAAAACAGAAAAAGCAAGCCGAAAGCGGCTGCTACAGTAAACAAAAAAGCAAGCCCGGAAACGGCTGCCACGGTAAACAAAAAGCAAGCCCGAAAACGGCTGCTACAGCAAACAAAAAAGCAAGCCCGGAAACGGCTGCAACAGTAAACAAAAAGGCAAGCCCGGAAACGGCTGCCACGGTAAACAAAAAGCAAGCCCGAAAGCGGCTGCTACAGTAAACAAAAAGCAAGCCCGGAAACGGCTGCTACAGCAAACAACAAGCTGGTCGGAGTCGGCTAACGCCGAGGCACCAGCAACAGGGAGTCACGGTGAGAACGCGTCCCCGTTCGCCGTCGATAAGAGAAAAAAAAAAACTTACCAGACGAAGAAACCAAGCTGTAAATAATGAAAAGCTTGCGCAGCCTCTGGAGGGCGAGATGAGCCTCGCAGCTCCGACCAAAGTCTCGAGGCTACCAGCGACAAGCAATCAGTGTCGTACCACCTGTTTCAACCTGCATGCGAGAAGATGAAAAGGGACTGAGCTGTCGCTGTCACGTGACTATATAGGCACACCGGTGTCACCGGGGGTCACACGTGACTATGTTGGTATAAGATTCTCGACCTGTGCATGCGCAAGAGTGATCATTCGTGCTTTAAGCACCGCCTCTGGCGGTCAGTAGGGATGAAATAGAAACGTATCTTCTATTACTTGTACCTCACGTTTTACTTTGAACTAAGAGTTACAAGACAGGTTGGTTTAAAAAAAAAAAAAAAAAAAAGAGATGCCACCAAAAAAGCCTTTAGACAACTCAGCTTAAACAAAATAAACAGCAACAGAGTGTTTATGCTGCGCAGGTTAGTATTAAAAGGCATTAATTCTGACAAAACTTTGCTATTAAATTTTTGTTCCTCTTCACTAGTTTAAAAAAACAATTCCTCTCAGCTCCTCAGAGGATAATGACCTACAGTTAAAGGTAAAAAATAACTCCTGTTTATCTTTTTGTTATTTAACAGAAATTTACCAGACTGCAACAGTTCTAGAGATCCCAAATTACTGAGATTTTAAAGTCCTTCAGAGTTGACTTGAAAATGAGTTTCTCTAGAATCATTATATTAGTCGACATTTTAATGCCGTGTGTTTTTCAGCACAGCACAGACAGAGAAGCAGGTACAGCTTCAGATAGAAAGATAAAACAGATCTACTGGGATATGAAACATGCAATAAAATCTCTGAAATATTTTACATGTTATATTTAAAATGCACTTTTGTCTTTTGTAAATCAGCAAGAGTCAGAAATAGCTGTAGCTGCCAACTCAGCTGCAGAGCCAGACCCACAGCCAAGAGAGACTTAAAATTTAAATCTAAGAAACCTGTGAGATTCAAAGCAAAATAATACAGTAATATTCAGGGAATCAATAATTTAAAATAAAACCTTTGATACCAAGTCTTTGTCAAAGATATATGTGGGAAGAAAACTCTAAATTAGATTTTGCTGTTTGTGAAGGAAGAAAATGTTTCTCAGAATAAAGCAATGCATGGATGGATTTCCTATTTGAAACTCTATATATTCAGGGACGAAATCAGTATCAGCTTTTTGTTTTTATTTATATTTACCCCCCCCCCCCCCCCCCCCCCTTCAGGAGCGGATTCCAGACCACCCAACGGGCTGATCAGGATGATCCCCGTGGAGGTCCTTATCCAGGATCAACCGGGCCAGAATCCAGGACCTCTCCTTTGGATGATAACCCTACCAGTCAACCAAATACTGGAGCCCCCTGCTTGTCCTCTTAGACCTGAAGAAGGCAGGGACCCCCTTTCTGAATCGGGTGGGTGGAGGTGAATGGAAGGGAAAAAGGTCTCCCCTATTCCCATAAAAAAAAAAATAAATAAATCCACCACACCAGACTCAGATGAATGGGGAGAAAAACAATCCGGATCAGGCCCCGTGGGTGCCTGGGCTGAGGTTACTGGAGGATCTGGGGTTCTGGAAGTAACCACATTAGTCTTTAGTAACAGGAGAGCTGGAGAGGCATCTGGTGTGTCCCAGCCTAGTTTTACCCCTAGAAGAACCAGACCTCAGAAAATGTCCATCACTGACAGACAGAGCTGAAAACTGATGCGATGAGCCCTCTCCTCCTTGGAGAAGCATGCGTGTCCCAGCTGCATCGGACAAAACCTGTTCCTCCTGATCAGGTTCTGCCTCCCCTGAGGCTCCGCCCCCTGTCAAGGTGTGCTCACCTGTCAAACATGTTTCCTTTCATTCCTTCTTCTCTTTGGATCAACAATAAACTGAGCTGTAAAACACTGATGTCAGTTTTAAACTTCTGGCTTTTTAAGATGTTTTCTCAGTTTTTCACTCATTTCCAGTAAACATCTTATTACAGGAAGTAGTTTGGTTCTCTGGAAACCAGTAACTTCCCAGCAGAGATACTGGGAGCAGATCTGAGAGCTTTAGTTGGACTTTAATCTCTCTTTCTTCTTTCATTCTTATCCGTTTCTATATGGATCATTTTCTCCCTGAAATCATCTTGAACTGTTCAGGAAATGTTCTCACAGTGAGCTTCACTTTCTCTCAGCTTGGAGGCAAAGAAAAGGTTGATTTCATGTCTGACTGGGAATTTTCCAGCTGGGCCGTGCAGAGGCCAGTGAAGGAGCAGGGGCCCAGAATAAAAAAAAAAGGGCCCCAAAATCACAGTCTAGTGCAGAGGGTTAGCTAGACTTACCCACAGCTTTAACCATTGTACTAAGATATATTAGAAAATATTAAGCAGGGTGAAATACAACTGAATCAAAGGGAAAACTAGAATATAAAATAAAATGCCATATGTGGAGGAAATGTTTCCTTGTATCAGAATTTTAACATCTTTCATTACAGGGAATCATTGATATGAATAAAAATAAACTTACAGTTTGCTCAAACTTCCCAAAGTGTTGAAGAGACTTGAAAGGTGAACCTGAGGCGGAGCTGCTTTCTGGAATGAGTCAGAGCTTCACCTGTGATGGAGGCGGAGCCTGAAGAGAGACAGGTAGGAGGGACAGCAGCAGGTTATCCGAAATGTTTAACATTGTTCAGTTCGTATCAGCAGTTTGATCTTCCTGTCTTGAGTTCATATGTTCTACTGCTCAGGAAATAAGAAGTAAAATCAGAAAACCTTGTTTGCAGGATCTGATCCTACAGGCTGGTTGTTGTGAGACGTGTCTGACTTTGTCTTTACATGGTGTTTAATCATCCCTTTAAGAACAGTAATGGATGTTGGATGCAGTTTAATCTTGTTTTGCTGTCATGTTCAAGCTTCATAAAAAACAAAACAACAAAAAAACAGGTAGATTAAGATGCAGCCTGTTAATCCCAGTAAACCCAGTAGTTTGTCTGAACATCATGCTGGTCAGTGTGATGCTTGTTCAAAGACTGATCAGTTTTACAGGTAAATTTATTGCTGCTGGGATGTTAATGTCTTTAAGTTAAATGTCTTGTTATTGGTGTTTCCCAGTGGTAGAACAGTATGGAGGACCAACTCTGCCATATTTAAAAATAAATACAGAAATAAATAAATGCTCAATAAATAAATAAGCATACAATTAATTACCACCAAAAATACCATAAACAAATAAATGTAAGTAGAAATTAAATTATACAGTGAGACATAAATGTATATTTCTCTTTTAATGAGCTTCTTCATTTATTTACCTTTGTAATATTTACCTTATTAATTTTTTGTCCTTTATAATCTTCATCTTTATTTTTAATTACTTATATTTTTAAGTATTTATTGAGTTCCTGGAGCATCACATTTGTGGGGTCAATTAAACACTCAAAATGGACAGAAAAAGAGAACTTTCATCTGAAACCCGAAAGTCTATTCTTGTTCTTAGAAATGAAGGCTATTCCATGCGAGAGATTGCTAAGAAATTGAAGATTTCCTACAACAGTGTGTACTACACACTGTTGTAGGAAATACTTGTAAGCATGTGTAGTACACACTATTTCCTGATGTTCTCAGATTTTTGTCATAGTTTCGCCATATGTATATATATGTGTATATAGATATATATATATATATATATATATATATATATATATATACATATATATGGCGAAACTATGACAAAAATCTGAGTACAAAAATGTTCCCAATTACACCAAAAAAAAAAAAAAAATCCACTGAACTTGGTTTCCAAGTTTGAAGACATTTTGCTTCTCATCTAGGAAGCTTTTTCAATTCAAAATGTCAGGAATAACGTTGAGTTCCAGGTTTTATACAGTCATCTCAATTCTATTCCTGACATTTTGAATTGAAAAAGCTTCTTGGAGGGGAAGTGAAACGTGGACTTGTTTACCAATCAGTCTGCTACCAACATCAATCATCACTTCCATCCTAACTATCAGATTACTTTAGAAAAACACCTCTTCATGAAATAAAACGCCGCCCCACACGTGTCCCCATAAAGAGTAAAGAAGGCATTTTTTGGTCATTTAGTTTTACGTTATCTTAACATCAGTATAAGGTGCGCACCCCCCTTTAAAAAAAATCCTGGATCCGCCCCTGTTGTCCGTCTGATTATTTTTTCCATCTGACTTGTTTACAAGGAATTGCTGATTTTCCTCCTTTTATTCAGTCAGACTGAAAGTGTCCCTTTGAGAAGAAGCATAGAGTTGATGCTCCTCAGCAAACATACAGACCATCATCTCCAGACCTAAACAGAGGAACATTTCCAGTTTCCATCCACCTGAGGCTGTTTCCATCATTTCTAGGTGTGTTACTGTGTGAATGAGGATCAATGGGATTCAGTTCCATCGTTCAGGTTTAAACCATTAAAGCTGAAACTCTGAAACAAACATCAACAGCAGCTGAGGTTCAGGGTAGAATCTGGACGGTTCCAGGAGGTTCTTCATCAAACAGGAAGCTCCAGGTTTTAGAACTAGAACCACCAGAACTACCAGAACATCCTGACCCAACCTGTGGCCTGCCTCCTCTGAGCCCAGACTGCCCCCTGCTGGTGTTCTGATGGATGATGAAGATGAAGAAGATGTTCTGATGAAAAATGATTTATTGATAAACAGCAAACCTTTAGATTTGATCAGGATATCTATCCTGGTTCTGATCCAGTTACTGATGGAGGAGATTCTGTCTCAGTCAGCATTTAATGATCCTCAGGATGTTGTCAAAACTGTTGCTCACCTGTCCAGGTATCTTGGCTCCGCCCACTCACTGCAGTCTGCATGTCGTTCTGGTTCTTTCTGATGAGACCCATTGGACCCTGTTCCAGATATCTCTGCTGATTCAATTTGGTTTTTTATTAATTTCAGTATTAAAGTACTTTGAACCACACAAACTGTACTATTTATAAATAAATTAAAACTGAATAATTCCTTTTTTTTTAATTATAATCATAAACTGATTTCAGAAGAACAAAGAAAAGGGGACATGGCAGTTAAACCAAATTTTAGTTTTTTTAAAACTTAATTATTTTTAAATCTAATCATTTTATGTAAATATGTTTTATGGCAGACGTGGTCAAACATGCAATGTACTTGATTATTTATATTTAGATAAAGAGCCAAACCTTTATCTCCAAATTGTTGCCAAAAAACACATGAGGCTCAGTGAATCTCCCTAATAAATATATCTATATAGATATCTATATATCTATATATATATATAGGGAGAGAGAGAGAGAGAGAGATTTTCTTTTTAAATAAAATAATTTTATTCAGTCTCGTCTTCTATCCTCTTCTCTCCCCTTCCCTTCATTCCATCTAACCTCTATTCAGCTTCCACCTTTCTGCTTTTCCCACCTTCTCTTTTCTTCTATCATCTTCCTTTCCTTCCTAACCTCTTCTCTTTTGTCCTATCCCTGTTCCTTCTATCTATCTCGGTCGGATGAATGTAACCTGGCCGTTTAGACACGGGTCGCATTTAAAAAGATCAGATACATATCGGATTCAGGACATAGCCAAGTGGACTGGGTTGCATTTGAAAAAAAATCTGATCTTTATTGTTCAGACTGTCATGAAAAGATCAGATACAGATCGCATATGGGCAACACAACAACAAATGAATTAAAAATCATACTTGGGTCCCTTCAGGCTGCATTGTGAACACAGCCATAGTTAGATCCTTCATTCCTCTAGTTGCTTGGTTGTAGCGGCTCTGGACACACAGTTATAGCAACTGAAACACTTGTTTTATCAGGTGCCGAACCAACTGGGCCAGAATACGTACCTACATTATTTCCTGATCTAAGTTCTCCAACAAGCAAAGGAGGATTTATCCAATGGCCAGATTTGAACTCAGGCTCTAAAAAGCAAAACGATTAATGCTGATGGAGGAGCAACAGGAAAGACTGGAGAAGACAGAAGGTGAATGCATTTAAACTATTTATTTTAGAGCTTTAGTTCGTATGAAAACATCAGAGAAAACATGGAAGAAGATTGTAATTAATATGAAACCATATGAAGAAGCAAATTGTTTCAATCCATGAGGTTTTTATTGCTGCTAATTCATCAGTTTAGAAGTGATTACAATAATTAAAAACATCCACAGCAGAATATAAAACATAAAATCAGTTGTATAAAATAGGCAATAATTACTTTCAATCATAGCAGGTAAATAGAAAATCTACAGAATCAAGAACAAAACTATAAGAATTAGTTCAAAGGAAAATTATACTTTCAAAAATCTCTAAAAAGCAGAAACTTTAAACTTCTAGAGGAGAGTCAGATTTCTTTAATACATTTTTAAAACAAAGGCTTTTTACCGAGTTAAAGCAGGTTCAAACTGATCAGTAAAATAACAGCAACATCATCAATCTTGTTTATCTTTTTGAAACAAACATGTTTCATCATTTTAGGACTTCATTTTCCCTGGACTACAGACTCCAGCCTCTAAACTGAGTTCTTTGATGTCCCGTAGTTTAACCCCATAATCCAGAGCCTTTAAAGGCGGCTGGAGCTACTTTACAACATTAATTAGCTTGTAGCTGACTAACTCTGAGACTGACACACACTTCTATATGTCCCAAATCTTCATCTGAGACTCCTCTATAGATGATCTACTTCATTCTAATATCTATTGACCATAGCTCTAACAATGAGCCAAATAAAGTTGGAGTTTTGGTGGGCCTGGTTTCAACAACACACGTAGCAGGGCTGATTGATGCATTGCTAATGAAAGCCAACAAGACACTGAATTAGCAAAACTCTGATCATTTGCAGCTGAATTCTTAAAAAATCCCCCAGAATAATCAGCAAAACTGAGCAAAGCTCATTAAATCTGTCCTACCTTTGCTTTTATTTTCATCTGAAGATATTTTCATCTGAATGTATGTTTCTGGAATATTTCCAACCAATAGATCATCATTCAGCTAAAAGGTTCTTTTAGCTAAATGATGAATACAAACACCTTTTTTTTGTCAGGGCAACTTTCTTACTAATTTACTCAGGTCCAAAATAATTAACTTTCAAATGTTCACATCCACATATTCACCCAGGACCTGAATATTTACTAGTTTACAATAGAACACCTTATCTGTTCTAGTTTCTATGTAAAAAGAGCTGTTAATTAATGGCTTTCTCAAAACTTTGCTTGAAAAAGACCATTAACCTGTGAGTTTCTCATATAGTGACGTGAAGGAGTTTCTAGATGGACATTTTATCAGCAGTCAAACATGGAACTAGTGTTCATACCTGTGGCGTCTAACTGTGGAGGAGAATAAATGAGCAGTACGCTGCAGAGAAAGCTGCTAAAGTTGATTGAGGCGACGTGTTTAGCACTGACGAGGGACCACTAGACATCTGTCTATAATGAGAACTACCTCAGCATTAGTGGACACCTCATTGATGCCAGCTGGGAACTGCACTCCTTCACTTTAGGTAGGCCATGTTTTGTCGTTTTAAATTTCATTTTACCAAGACACCACAAATTATTACCACATTATGTTTGCTTCTTGATGATTGCTTTGGTGAATGTGGGTAAAGTTGGATGCTTTTTGAAAATGTTGCTTTCAGTAGTATTATGTGATGCATTCTGGAAACAGGAGATGAGCCCCTGGTCTAATGCACCAGTTCAAAGACTTACTTTTAATTATTATTTAGGTACCACACACATATCATCCTTATCAGATTTTATTCTTATATCTTATTTGTACTCACAATCTAATTTTTCCCCTCTTCTGTAAATTTCTTTCACACGGCAAAAAAAAAAATTTCCCTCAAGGGATTGATAAAGTTATTCTGATTCTGATTCATGAAGCCATTTGGCAGAATTCAAATCAGCCGTTTTAATCTAGATATATCTAGATTTATTCCAAGACTACAGAAATTAATATATGCCCACCTCAAACATAAATCATTCCACATCATGAATGAATAAATGTCATCTGAATAACAGAATAACCGTCTTGTTTAAAACCCTTGTCACATTCAGGAGAACGACCTCTCACCTGTGTGAATTCTCATGTGTTTATGCAAACTACTTTTGTAAGTATAACTTTTGCTACAAATTGTGCATGAAAAAGGCTTCTCACCCGTGTGAATTCTGATGTGATCATTAAGACGGGTCTTCGAGGTGAAGCTTTGCCCACAACAAAGACATTCAAAAGGCTTCTCACCTGTGTGAATTCTCATGTGTGTAGTCAAATGACTTTTTTGAGTAAAACTTTTGCTACAAATCGTGCAGGAAAAAGGCCTCTCACCTGTGTGAGTTCTGATGTGATCATTAAGAGTAGATTTCTCGGTGAAGCTTTTTCCACAGGACGGACATTCAAAAGGCCTCTCACCTGTGTGAGTTCTGATGTGTTTATCAAGAGCAGATTTCTCAGTGAAGCTTTTTCCACAGGACGGACATTGAAAAGGCTTCTCACCCGTGTGAATTCTCATATGTTTAATCAAATGACCTATTGCAATAAATTTCTTGCTACAAATCGTGCAGGAAAAACACTTCTCACCTGTGTGAATTCTGATGTGTGAATCAAGTTTAGATTTCACAGTGAAGCTTTTTCCACAGGACAAACATTCAAAAGGCTTCTCACCAGTGTGAATTTTCATGTGAGAAGTCAAATGACTTTTGCAAGTGAATTTCTTGTTACAAGTTGTACAGGAAAAAGGCCTCTCACCCGTGTGAATTCTCATATGTTCAGTCAAACGACTCTTGTAAGTGAATTTCTTGCTACAAATAGAACAGGAAATAGGCCTCTCACCTGTGTGAGTTCTGATGTGATGATTAAGTCTAAATTTCTGTGTGAACATTTTTTCACAGGACAAACATTCAAAAGGCTTCTCACCAGTGTGAATTTTCATGTGAGAAGTCAAATGACTTTTGCAAGTGAATTTCTTGTTACAAGTTGTACAGGAAAAAGGCTTCTCCCCCGTGTGAATTCTCATGTGTAGTGTCAAATAACTTTTTTGAGTAAAACTTTTGCTACAAATCGTGCAGGAAAAAGGCCTCTCACCTGTGTGAATTCTGATGTGTTTATCAAGAGTAGATTTCTCAGTGAAGCTTTTTCCACAGGACGGACATTCAAAAGGCCTCTCACCCGTGTGAATTCTCATGTGTAGTGTCAAATAACTTTTTTTAGTAAAACTTTTGCTACAAATCGTGCAGGAAAAAGGCTTCTCACCTGTGTGAGTTCTGATGTGTGAATCAAGAGTATATTTCTCAGTGAAGCTTTTTCCACAAGACAAACATTCAAAAGGCTTCTCACCAGTGTGAATTTTCATGTGAGAAGTCAAATGACTTTTGCAAGTGAATTTCTTGTTACAAGTTGTACAGGAAAAAGGCTTCTCACCCGTGTGAATTCTCATGTGTGGAGTCAAATAACTTTTTCGAGTAAAACTTTTGCTACAAATCGTGCAGGAAAAAGGCTTCTCACCTGTGTGAGTTCTGATGTGTTTATCAAGAGCAGATTTCTCAGTGAAGCTTTTTCCACAGGACGGACATTCAAAAGGCTTCTCACCCGTGTGAATTCTCATGTGTGCAGTCAAACCACTCTTGTAAGTGAATTTCTTGCTACAAATAGAACAGGAAATAGGCCTCCCACCTGTGTGAATTCTGATGTGTTGATTAAGTCTAGATTTCTGTGTGAACATTTTTCCACAGGACAAACATTCATAAATCTTCTGACCAGCTTGATTTCCCATGTCAGCCATTGACTGTTCTTTTTTTAGAAAGTTTTCTCCCCGTGTCAGACATGGGGAAGGTTTCTCTTCAATATCGTGCTTCAGAACAAGCTGCTCTTCTTGCTCACTTATGTTGAGCTCCATGGTTTCCTCTTTTGTCCAGGGATCTTCTGGCTTTTGCTGCTCTTCTTTTATCTGCAGAGCTTCTGGTTCCTTTTGATCCAAACTGGAATTGCTCTCTTGTCCACAGAGCTGCTGGTCAGAGAAATCCTCCTCTTTTCCAAGATCATCCTGGAGGCGGTCTGAAAGACAAACACAGCAGAAAAACTTTATTACAGCCTAAAGAAATGACACTTTATTCTTATACTTTATTCTTTTGTTGATCTAACTACATAAAAGCATACGTCAGAGAAAACCTCTTTTCCAAAATAATCCTAAAGGTGGTCTGAAAAGAGAAACACAGCAGAAATACTTTCTATTGGTGGTTAAATAAAGGACACCTCACATAAGAGCACCACACTCTGCCCTTGAGTTTGAAGAACGAGTGGATCCTGCCAAGAAACCTGAAGATATGAAGTTCATTCTGACCTAAAGTTGTTTCCCCACAAAGAATTATTAAAGAAAGTAAAGAATTCACATCCAACACCACAGTGACTGTCTGGCAAATGAGGAAGTAATGAGACACCCTAGCCTCAGCAGCGCTTCCTGTACACCTCTGCCTGAGCTGATCTCCAGTAGAGCCAGATGGCTGTTTTTGCTCTTGTCTGGGTTCCTCATCACTGAAGAGCAAAGTAACTCAGCCGTATCACTCAAGAGGAGGATACTTGCTGTCACTGCTGCAGAAAAAAAACATTTGACCAAACCAATTGAAGAAACTCCAACAGACAGAATAAAGGAGGGGTCAGATGGTGAAACCATATTAATATTGGTTTTTAAGATGATATTTTAGCGCCATTGAGACCCTTATCTATGGTCGTGGCTTCTTCATAAAACGGTAAAATCAGGGACATTGGCGGGGACAGCTTTAGCAGGGGACAGGTGGTCCAAAACGGGGACTGTCCCTGGAAATCGGGGATGTCTGGTCACCCTAAGCCACGGGCAATCGCTACCAGCTGAAAATCTGGCTTAGGGCCAGAATACTTTAATCCCTGTACTTTTCTGCGACTTTCACTATTATTTGGATTTTTTCAGTTTGTGGTCTGAGCGCTATAATTGATCACTTCTACCATGAAAAGTACAAAATCCTTCTTTTTCACAATGAATGAGTCTTCTGCCATTTTGGGGCGGTCCTCTAGAGATTTTGCACGGCTCATTTTCACCACTGTTGATTTGGGTCTTTCTGACTGGGATGGGATTCTTTTTGCAGCATCAGTAAAGTTATTCCGAGCTCTAATTTCACTTTTCTTCTCTCTTCAGATCTTTTGCTCTCTTCACATCCGTGATACGCAGCAGGATGTTCTCCACCACAGTTACAGCATTTAATTTTTACTCCTTTCCCTCATTTTCCATATTTGTCGAGTAATATTCCATATTACTTTGTTATCATTTTGTTTTCCTGTAGAATTTCTAGATTGTTCATCTTAATTGTTCTGTGTTGGACTCGCCTTTTTTTGTTTTTGATTCAACTTTATTCCAATCTTCTTTGTTTTCAGCATTTCCTTCTTCCATCCCACAAGAATCGCTTCCTGTTTCCTCGCTACTCAGGACCCAGGACATTTCTCCACAAGGTGCTTAGAAACACTCATCCTTGTGTCGCCCAACAACGCCCCAACAACCTGCACACACATTTATTACAGAAGGCCAAAATAAAAGGGAGGTGCTCTCCAGAAAGCCAGAGCTGCATCCCATTCTGCTCTGATCCAGCTCTTTATCCAGCATTCTGTCTTCGCTGACCTCAGTACAGAGCTAGTTGTAAACCTTCTCTAACTCCTTAGACACAATAAGTAGAGAAAGATTTAAAAGGATGGTAAAAGGACACAATGCTCCTCTTCTGAAGACACAATATGGGTAATGCAGAACATCTTAGAAAAACAGGGTGAAGTTAACATAGATGACATTTTCCATCACATTATTCTACCAAAAAAATATTGATTTCCATCACAAAACACAATTTCAATCTTTTCCCTCCCCGATTTATTTCTGCTTCACTTTAAAGGCTAGAGTGAAAACTAATCCACACTACATTCCTGAGACAAACTTTTTGTTATTCTCATGACAAAGATTCATGCAGTTCAAGCTCCTCCTATTTAATGACTCGGTCTGAGGTGAAGCTACTGTGCATCACTGTGATAAACCTGAAGTCTAAAGCATTTAGATATCATAGAGGATGACAATAGAAATATGATGAAGCCAATTGTTCCTTTTGAACTATTTGAAATGCAGAGACCTGGATGACGACATGTCAACCAGAGGCAGAAGGCTGAAGAAAACTAAAATGTCTGCTCCTGTTTTAGCTGGAATACCTCTATTACTTTAGAAAAATGAGCAAAAGGACACGATTTTTGCCTTTGTGGATGGAGAAGATGTTTGTGTTTTCCTCTCAACCGGATTTGGTTACAAACTAATTTATCAGTTAACACTGAAACAAATGAAGAACGTGATTGGTCAGCTGCTACTGCTGCAGTGATTGGCTAAAAGCTGGACATGAGAGATGGATACCCAATCAGCTGGAAGAACTGTACTGAATGATCCTCCCTTTTGCTAACAGCCTCTACAGAACGATACCCAGATTCATACGGTGTAGGAACTGAATTTAACTAGATGTCAATCTGGTTTATGCCAGGTTAAATATGTGGCCCAGATGCAAAAAAAATAAAAATAGGCCCTTCCAGGGCTCTTTATTGAATTTCACAAAGCAGAAAAAGCTTTCGCAAAACCAAAAGGGAGTTTTAAAAATTCTGCTTTTATCTTGAAATAATATAAACCAGTTTTTAAGCGTCTGAATGGTATAGATTTTAATGAAGAGCAAATAAATGACACTTAAGGCTGTAATAAAACAGGTGGAATAGCCCTTTAGCTTTTCACTGAACCGGTGTTACGAGAAGAAGAGCATGCCTGCTGAGAATGACCTCACCTGCTGCTCTCTAAGCTCTCACACATTTATGATCAAGTGTCATGAAATGGCCGCTGTTTTAGTGAAGGAGGCCGTGGAGACATTTTATTTTAATGGAGAGAAAAAAAGAATCAATATGAAAGATAGAGAAAATGAAGCTGACAAAGGATAATGCAGAAGTGCTTTTAAGAGGTTTGTAGGAGGCTTTGATGTACCTATCAAGTCTAGATTTCTTTGTTAACATTTTTCCACAGACATTCATAAATCTTCTTACCTGTGTGAGTTCTCATGCGATCCATTAAATGTTCTTTTTTAAGAAAGTTTTCTCCACATGTCAAACATGGGAAAGGTTTGTCTTCAGTCTCCTGCTTCAGAACAAGCTGCTCTTCCTGCTCACTTATGGGGAGCTCCATGGTTTCCTCTTTAGTCCAGGGATCTTCTGGTTCTTTCTGCTCTTCTTTTATCTGCAGAGCTTCTGGTTCCTCTTGATCCAAACTGGAATTCCTCTCCTGTCCACAGAGCTGCTGGTCAGAGAAATCCTCCTCTTTTCCAATATAATCCTGCAGGCGGTCTGAAAGACAAACACAGCAGAAAGACTTTCTATTGTTGGTTAAATAAAGGACACTTCACATAAAAGCACCAAACTCTGTCCTTGATTTTGAGGAGCGAGTGGATCCCACCAGGAAACACCTCTGCCTGGAAGAGACAGACCCCAGCTCAATGTGTCAGAGGCTGAGCTGATTTTAAATCATTTTCTAATGAAATTTCTCTGTTCTTTTGTACTAAAAAAAAAGCATTATAGTAAGAAAGAGAAAAGCAGGTCTAAATGATAAAGCCGTCTGGAGCAGCTTCCACATTTTCTGCTAAAAATGTAGCAAGCAGCAGGGCAACAGGGCTATGTTTTTTGTTTTGAATCGCAGAATGAAGTAAGAACAGTTCTAAAAAGATCACAGTGCTGGAAGAAGTCAGTTGTTGAAAAGTCTAGGCTGTACTGGAGGCAGGAAGGCCTGCAAGGCCTGGATGATGAGGTCATCACCTTCAGTCCCTTACATGGAAATGCAGCATCCCATTCTGGAGACGTTAAAAGAGGAAAGTTTTTGCTCATCTGGGAACTTCTGTCTGGGTTCCCCGTCACAGAGGAGCAAAGTAACTCAGCCGTATCACTCCAGAGGAGGATACTTACTGTCACTGCTGAAGAAAAAAACATTTGACCAAACCAAATTAAAATGCTCGGAAGAAACAAAGAAAAAGAAATTTGACCAGACCAATGGAAGAAACTCCAATAGACAGCATGAAGGAGGCGTCAGATAAAGTTAGTTAAACCATATTAATATTGATACTGATGACCATGTAGCACTCTTAACCTAAATGTAAGAAAGAAACCACATTCTCTAGGTTCAGAAAGTATGACTCTGAGTGGAAGTTGAACAATGATTATTTATTGCACCAAACAGGTATTATAACTTCTTTTTATACAAAGAATTAGGGGGGGGGGAAACCCAACAACATAGAGCTCTTTGATAACAAAACAAAAATAGAAAAAAAAAGTTCAAATAAAAGTGTCCTTTTCTTCTGTGTCAGGAGAAAAAGCTTAGATCCTTGTGGTGTGTGTGTGTGTGTCTGTTTATATATTCTTCTACTACCCGGGTAGTTTTTTTTTTTTATTGTTTCTATTGAGCGCGCTTATCTGTATCAGAGAAGTTGGTAGATTTCTGTAGTCCTCGTGGAGTGGATCCCGTTCTCCGCTTCCTGTCGCCTGGCTCGCCACTGAACCACAGAAGGTTCAGAATTCATGCAGATCGATTCCTGATCCAGCAGAAAAATAAAACCAATCTACACACGGGGTGTAGAAAGATACTTCCATTAATACTATGTTCATCTACTACTCTTACTCTGATTCTCTGCATTGTCATAGCCAATTAATTGTAAATATTGGTCTACAACATAAGTAGTGTTATGTTAACACAATTAAACATTAAGAACTTTTATTCTTAACATAAATGAACTTCTTCCTCTTTTTTAAAGCAGTATTTATATCAATACCCAGCCTTTAAATCAATATTTATTTATTTTTTTACTAAATCTTTATGAGTTTGAACAACCACAATGAAATAGATAGCATTATGTACACAAAACAGTACATTAGAACAATTTCTTACATCTCACTATCACATTTATCTCTCTCTCTTTGTCTAATGACATAGTAGCAGAGGAGGCTACCTGTGCTAGCATAGCAGCTACCCGCAATTAGCGTTAGCACGCTAATTAGCTATCTCTTTAGTTATTATTTCACCTAACAAAATGATACACAGTACAATGGTGGGTCACACATTGGATAAAAAACTCCGACTGTCTCAGCAACAACATCTTCACATGTCCTAACTCCAACAAGCTAATAACCGAAGCCTAGCATCCTACCACTTAGCCTAACTCTTACAGGAGTTCAGAGGGCTTAGATGTGGTTGAAGTAGTTCTTCTCTCTTCCTCAAGGCTCATAAAATCTTCTTTATCCGGTTTATTAGCTTAACAGATGATTTTTTTTTCAGTTTGTGTATCAGCAGTGAGTGTAGCTTGGTCCATCAGTGTGATTTCACATGCTCAGTGGCAGGAACCTAATCCAATGCGCCACCATGTGGCGGAGATCATAACTACCGTTGTGTTCTCAAATAACATACGTGGGTCTAGTAACCATGTGGGTTACAACCAGTATTCCAAGAGCCATTAGGATGAGGGAAAGATCTACCGTGAATTACCAGAACTGATATTCTCATAGACTCAGATAATTGACTTATATCTGTACTCGTCCTTTGGATCTCAGTGCTGCATTTGATCCAGTTGATCATAATATTATTTTAGAAAGACTTGAATATTTTGTAGGAATTAAAGGAACAGCACCAGACTGGTTTGAATCTTATCTATCTGATTGATTTCAGTTTGTTGGTGTTAATGATAAATCTTCCTCATGCTCAAAGGTTACCTGTGGAGTACCACAGGGATCAGTGCTAGGACCAATTCTCTTTACTTTATATATGCTCCCAATCGGTAGAATTATTAGACAGCATGGGATTAATTTCCACTGTTATGCTGAGGATACTCAGCTATATCTGTCTATAATCCAGATGAAGCTAATCCATAACATAGATTACAGGCAGGTCTGAAGACTTAAAGAAGTGTTGAAGTGTTTTACAGTGGATATTCTTCCAGATCCACCTGGATCACAACCTTCAGGACTCTGCAGACTCAGATGCTTTTAGATGCTGCCTACTCACAATGAAGTTTTTGATCACAAAACTTCAGTTTCACACAATATTTCACATTATTCACATACATCATACACGTGTTTGATAGATCTGAGACCAGAAATGAGGAAATGTATTCCGGCCCATTTGTTTATGTTTGTTCATTTTAATCAGGCAACCATGCAGCCACCTAATCTCTACTCATCTGCGTTATAGACCCCGTTTGTCAGAATTTAACCTGATGTTTCCCTATTTCTGCCTTTTGTTCTACAGGCTGTATAAACAGTTGGTTCCAGTGGAGAAGCTGATTTCCAACCTTTAAGCTGTTGGTTTTAGGTTAGAAACGTTTCTTGTCCTTTCTGCTTGGATATAGAACCACCATGATGTGTGATACCCACTATCGCTGGGATTTAAATTCTAATTTTTAAAAAGTAGCATTTCCACATCAACAGGTACGTGATCCAGATTTTATTTGAGTACATTTTCTCATAAATAAATGCATTTCACTCCCTTGTTCACATGATGCAGCTAAAACCAGTTCAGAAACAGCCTGTTATGGTCTCATAACTAAAGCTCCATTTCTGCAGCAACACTGTGATAAAACTGTGAATGACAGAGATCTGGGATCTGCTGACAGACCAGGATCTTTGCAGACGGATGTTAGGCTGATTTACAGAGAATGGAAGATAGTGGGAGATGTTTCCTTCATTGTCATGTAAGTCTATTTCTTGTTCTTCAAACATGCAGTGGTGACCAGTGGTCAGAAGGACTAAGTGCAGAAGAAGTTAGTGAAAGTTCGGTAAGATGAGGCCAGTGAGAAACTAAGGGATTGTTTCAGAACCACAGACTGAAGCAGGTAACCAGTTTCTCTATATTTGACACCAAGTGCAAAAACTATATATATATAAATGTAAATATCCATCTATATAAATACCCCTATACACACCCTGTGCAATAACCCTGTATAATGATCATATATATATCCCATGCACCTTTTCTTCCTTTGGCGCATTCTTCTTCTTTTACAATGTGAGCTGATGTAACGAGTACATTTCTCCACTCTGAGATCAATCAATCAATCAATATCATTAAATCTTTCTCTGTGAAGAGTTGGTTCAGGATTTTTTTTTTTCTTGTCATTAATGAAAAACTATGTGGGGAAGGAAGCTTGAGGGCAACTTTCCATATCTGAAGGCCGACAGAGAGCTGGAGGTAGGCACCAGCATCACAGAGACACTGACTGATGAGCCAGAGAAGATGGATGGATTTGTTTAAATTCAAATCTCATTTCAGCTGGTTTCATGAGATGCATCTTTTGGTTTTGCATATTAAACCTGTATATATTTGTTATAAATGTTAGTATACAGAAGCGGTGGGTCCAGCAACCTCGATGCATGGATGCATGTGTGGAGCCCATAGAGAAAAACACTGTTTCTGCTAGCATGTCGCTTCAGGGAAGACATGTGACCGATACAGGAGTTATTTCTAACTGACTGACTCACTAAACTGGGTTTAAAAACGTTTCTGTCAACATGATGCATCTGCTAAGAAAATGTTGCACCTTTTTTTAAGGTTTCCTCTCAGTTATCTTTCAACTTATCTGAATTAAAGTCAATTTCAAATTGACTCTTAGTTTATTTACTGTTTTTATTGAACTTATTGATTTAAAATAATTATTTAAAATCCAAATCTACAACCACCCTCATTCACATTTTCTCCTAAATTTTCCAGTTATGCGCTAATATTTTTATATTATTCATTGGTTGCATCTAAAAATATCAAAGATAGTTCCAATAGATGTGCAATAAAACAATATAACCTACAATAGTACTAGGCCTTCAAATCAATTCAGTTTAGTCTGTCCAATAAGCTGCCTGTAGTGTCTATAAATGTCCAGCAGGTGTCAGTATTCTGTCAGGTAGAATCAATCCAGTTTGGCTTCAGGATGCCTCATTAACCATCACTGCTATATAAGCTAAATAACAACATTCTAGCCTGATAGTTTCTCACCTTCAAAAGCTAGACCTACACTTTAAATTTGAAAACAGGAAGTCGCTACACACCGTAGCAGTTTTCTCTCGCCGTCTGTTACTGTAAAGTCTGTAATACGGGTGCACTTGAAATGTTGGTAGAGACGGCTTTCTGTGATTGCAGTGAACTCGGAGCGAAGAAGAGGTTTAACCGGAGAAAATTACTAACTTTACCGCAGTCATTAAAACCCAATGCTGGGAGTGAGGGAGCTGACCGCAGTAAGATGGCCGCTGACCAGAAGTTAGCTTTAGCTTAGCATGTTGATCTCCTCTAAGCAGTTTTCCAATCAGATGAGGCTAAAATCCACAGTGTGCATCATCAGGGAATCGTTTCTATCAGGTGTTTCCTACCTATCCGGTGTAAGATGATCTGGGGGATCCTGGTGAAATCCAGCAGTAGATGTTGATCGTCCATCTTTTCCTCCGAATTGACCAAACTCCCTTTAAACTCCGTGAATGTTTCTTCAGCAGGAGTTAACTGCTCGGTGATAAACTCTCCTTGAAGCTGGACTGAAGACATTCTCACTGCAAACACTCCCAGATTATCAGCCTCTCTACAATGACTCCACACACAAGCTAAGCTAATGCTGCTAATGCTACACGATCCCTACCAGCAGCTCAGTGCGCATGCGCACCTACATCTACATCCGGGTCACCCTCGATTTTATTTTGTAAAAAAATTACTAAATTACGTTTTTCCTTCCTTAAAAACAGTAAGCGCACTAAACTATAAAGTTTTAACGGTTAATAATATATTTTATGAGAAAAGAAATGCATTAAAATTGTGCCTGTTTTGTCACTGGTTTTTGTTTGCCTTTTTTTCCACAAAAAAACTTTATTTAACAAGTTTATATAACATCAGGTATCAGAACAGAACTGCATAAACAGCATTCACAGAAAGTGATTATCTTAATATAGAAGAAAACCAAAGATAAAAGTAGAGAGAACAATAATAAAAATAATAATATTAAAGTGACATTATTTTATACATACATATAATTTATTTAGAAAAGAGAGAAAATTAGCAGCACTTTTGGTTCATACAAATTCTAAAGATGTTTAATCTTTCCAATGGGATATAAATGTTTATATCTGGAAAAAAAATTGAATTTGTGTGAATAAATTTTACAAATAAAATTAAAATACTAGCACTAGCATCATCACTACAGACTTTGGACTACACTGGAAAAAGTGAAACCTTGCTAGCACGTCAGCTAGCTCATATTAACTAGTTAACTAGCAGCTATAACATTGATTATATGCAGCTGCTTTGCTACTTGGGTTAATTATGGGGGAAATCCACCCAGGATGTAGAGACGAGGAAAATGGTGCTCTCTCTCAGGGTCTGGGACTTGGACTTGATCTGACTGCGTGCAAAGCGCAATTCACATGTGACGCAGACAAAAAAATTACCTGCAGGTCATGAATAATTATATACATATGGAGAGAAATCAAAAACTTTTTTTTTGGGTCCTTTGTATGTGTATTTAGTTCAGGTTAAATCAAAATCCAAAAAGAATGAGTTCCACAATCAAATGAATCATTTTATCCAGTTTAGAGCGACAGTCATTAGTTTGAATGAACAGCTACATGTTACATTTTTTTTCAGTGTACCTGGATTCTGCCTGCTGCCGACCTTTGACCTGTCTTCTCACCACGGCTTGGATCCCCCTCCTGGATCTTTTGGTTCCCATGCGTGATCTGGCAGCTGCTGCTCCTCTTCTCTCCTGGATCTCTGCTGCCCATTTCTCCCAGTTTCTGACCACAGATATTTCCAGAATCAGCAGGTGTGTCAGGCTCAGGTGTTGAGCTCACAGGAGCTGCTCTCATCATTTAGAAAAAGGAGATTTCCATGGGGAACATCTGAGAAATGGAGCTGCCCTGCTCTGCTGTGATCCCTAGCATCTTCCCCATGTTAGTACAAATAAGAATCATTGTTTGGATTCTATTGAACTAAGAACCTGATGAACAGGATCCAACTATTGAAGCAGTCGGAGCAAATGAGTGTTTTCTGTCTTTCTGTACCAGGCTAGGAGCCCTTTATTAGCAGGAAGACGGATTCTGTCTTCTGCTACTGGTAGAAATCTCCTTTATTGGCCTCAATGGGGAAATGAAAGGTTTATTGATCTTCTCTAAAGTTCACGATTTGTTTTTAGTTGCAGATTAATTTCTGTGGTTGTTTAGTTTTAAAGGGTTTACTTTTGATCAGCCTTAGCAGAGACTGAGCCTAGAAGCAGCCTTCAGATAGAAGACCTGGGACAGAATAATGGGTCCAGTTAGAAAGTGGAACATTAGTTGATGATCTGGACCCTTTTGGATCAGTTCTAACAGAACTATTATTGAAGTTTGGACTGAAACAGACCACAGGGTCTGCCTTGGAGGAAACTGATATCTGTTGCACCAGATAACAAAGGAGCATTTTGACCCAACGGTTTATCTGATTCTTCTCTGAGGCAGACGGAGGAAAATACATTTGTTAGAGAGTCTTTTAGATCACAGCCTGATTTTTATTTTCACCAACAGGTTTATATTTTCCCACATTTACCAAAAAACCCAATTCAATCCAATCTTTTGTTAAGTCTCCACCCTTTATACCTGAGTTTTTATTCCTGCAACAAAAGTCAGTTTTTTAAATCAATTTAAATACTTTATAAATTACAGACACTTTAACATGTCAATAAAGTTTCGTCTTCATCTTCAAACCTCCTGGATCCTCAGCGAGTTCTGACCAATCAGAGCTAACCTTCTAGTGTCGGCATCAAGTGGAGGAAAGAAACCTGAATCTTAAAAGGAGCAAAGTTCAAGCAGAAAATAAACCTCCACAGAAGTGAGAATGTTTCCTTTAGACCTCGTCTACAAAAGCTTCTGAAGCTAAACTTTCAGATAGATTTCACATAGAAACTCCAACCATATAACAGGATCCTAAACAAGAACATCACAGATTCTCCTGCTTTGATTTCTAATCATCAGAGGAAGCAACAAGTAGCTGCGTTGCCTCTTTTTTTATCACTGGACCATTTGGACAACAATGCAGCAGAACCAGGAATATACTGAGCATATTCTCCCAGAGAAAAATAAAAGAAGAAATCAGGAGGTGCAGCAAAGGAGCAGCGATCTGTAGAGAAGCAGGTCTCAGCTTTGCAGAGATGTTACCAAAGGAAGACCTGGAGGAGCAACGTCGCCTGTGGCCTCTGATTGATGAAGCAAGGAAAGCTGAAAAAAAAGGCCTTTTTTTCCTGGCGTCCCCATTGATACATTGAAGGAAGACGAGTGGACATAAATATGTAAATGACTTTTCACAGGGAGGAAAACATGCCAGCGGTGAAGGAGCTTGTCTTATAGCTTTCCCTTTCTTCTTTTCCCTTTTCTAGCTGGTGATTTTGATTCTTAAAAAATAAAAATAAAAATAAAGGTTAATGTTGAGTTCCAAAATTTATTTAGGTTCATTAAATGTTAAAAGAACTTGTTAAAAGAAAAGCAGTTTTTTTTTATTCTGTAAGGGGCAAAAATCTCATTGTTTGTTTCTACGAGAGACTCATCCTTCAGATGTGGACACTTCATTTTGGAAAAGTCATGGGGAAGATAGGATCCTGTTCAGTCATGGCACCAGCTGATCCGGTGGAGTTGCTGTACTATTCAATGATTTTCAGGGAGAAATCATCACTCATGGAACTGATAGTGAAGGTCACTGGCTGACAGCGGTGGTGAAGACAGATAATCTATTGATTATTTTATGTAACATCTACGGGTATAACAATGAAAATAAAAACAGAATAATGCTGGAAGACATAACGAAGGTTATTTCTGAGCTTAAGGCTCGTTATCCTACTGATTATATTTTGATGGGAGGTGATTGGAATGTGACTCCTGATGAGTGATTCGATAGACGGCCCTCAGGATCAGGGAGACCGCAATATAATAGGATAATTTATGATTTTATTGTTACTAGCAACCTGAATGATATTACAGTAGGAGATTTAAGAACCCAGGACTTCAAGGTTTTACACGGTTCAAGCCTCATAGATGTTGCAAATCTAGGATTGTCTACTGGTTGGGAAGTGACTCTGTTTTAAATCACACTTCAAAAATTATGACTTCAAAAGCTTCTCTTACTGACCATTGCTTTATAGAATTAAGTTTGGAACCTGCTGTTAGGAAATAACAAAAAAAGGGCTATTGGAAGTTTAATAGATTATGAAGACTATAGGTTCAGAAAAGTATCTTGAAGTGAAAGATTTAAACTTGGAAATGGCTGAAAGTATGATGGGAAAACCAATGGGACCACCAGAAACTGGCAGAATGACGATAACTTAAAGATCAGTTAGAAATTATGAGGGCAAATGTGATTGAGTATTTATTAAGTTGGGTTAAGCTAAACAGTTCAGAAAATATTATTTATTGATTGATTTATTTTATTTGTTATTTTTTCTGGGGTTGAGTTTTGTTTCCTGTTTCCTTGTTTTTCTCCTCATCAGTTGGTGGCGGTAATGCACCGGAATTTGCTTTCAACCGACATTAAACAGAAGAAGAAGAAGCGGAAGTTTCATCACTGGCAGCTAGCAGCATTAGCTTAGCTTGTGTGTGGAGTCATTGTAGAGAGGCTGATAATCTGGGAGTGTTTGCAGTGAGAATGTCTTCAGTCCAGCTTCAAGGAGAGTTTATCACCGAGCAGTTAACTCCTGCTGAAGAAACATTCACGGAGTTTAAAGGGAGTTTGGTCAATTCGGAGGAAAAGATGGACGATCAACATCTACTGCTGGATTTCACCAGGATCCCCCAGATCATCTCACACCGGATAGGTAGGAAACACCTGATAGAAACGATTCCCTGATGATGCACACTGTGGATTTTAGCTTCATCTGATTGGAAAACTGCTTAGAGGAGATCAAGATGCTAAGCTAAAGCTAAAGATGAACTGGTTGAGCAAAACTGCCAATATTTACACATTAATATTATTTAAAACTTTTAAGAGCTTTGAAAAGCAAAAATAAAAAAGCTGTAACTCTTTAAGCCAGTGGAGAACTATGATCCAACACTGATTTTGAGTCAATTCATCACATGACCTGGTAGCTTTTGAGCAAAATTGCTAATATTGTCATATAAAAATAGATATTAGAGATTTGAAATGGTAAAATAAAAAGTTTAGATTAGATTAAACTTTATTGTCATTGCCCAGGAACAGGTACAAGGAAACAAAGGGCAGTTTAGGTCTAACCAGAAGCAAGTGCAGGAAATACAATCCTTTTAAAATAAAGAAAAATAAAAGTAAAACTTGGACAGAAGCTTTTCCGATATAAAGTGCAGTGGAAGGTAATTGCATTTTACAGTTAAAATATAATGTTGCAAATCCATATGTAAACAGGTTAGTAGTGCGAGAT